GGATCTGTAGTATTCTTTTCTTCATACAGACGCCATGTCTTTTCACAATCATACTAAAACTGCGGAATTTTTGCTCTGGTGTTAAATTGCTTTAAAACCTAGACTTTGGTTCACAAACATGTACAGAAGATTCACAACAGTGGCCTCTAGCAAAGCGTCGCTTTCGCATGAACTCTGAACTGATCAGATTGGACATTTTATACATTCCATGGAAATTCTGACGCTGTACTAAACAAGAGGCTCCTAAGCTGAAAACTAATGGACTGCCACAAACGATCACAAATTCCAAATTTCATCATCTGATTTGCCATAAAAAGTACCTCTGAGATACGGATCTAAACGTGGCATGGTTCAAGCACCTAACAGACGAAAACTCATGCAAGAATATGAAATAAAAATTGCTCGTAGTAGGAAAGAACTTTATCCTTCAACAGCTCAGCCATAAAAAGAATAAGAAACATAGAAACGAGCAAGATATACATATAAGATGGCTTTTAAACTGGTGATTTACAGGATAAAAAATGTAATTTTGATATTTTGATAATTGTCATATCGATTAATCAGATATGCTAAGGATAAAAATGCCGTTACTTGCTATCCGTAATATAAGAGCGATACTTGAATGTTACGAGACTCACTTGATGAAGACATCAGTTTTGACAGACTGCTGAAAGCAACTGATGTCATCTGAAACGTTTTTGCAACGCTAGGCAGTGCAGAAAATAAATTTGGTTATGTAAACAATAAAACGTATAATTGAAAAATACCTGAGCATGCTGAATGGTAATCCCAGCAGCAGTCGCCTAGAACCGAACAAGCCTCGTCACAGTAGCAGATTTCTGACCGGTTGGGCGGCTGTGCGGGTACAGACCAAAAGTCCGGGTCTTGGCGTATCACGAACTTCGGGATCTCGTCATTTACCATAATGTTTGCTAGGCGTTCGGCGCCGGGCAATGGAGTGGCGGCTGCGGCTTCCGAGACGGTCGGCGCCGTTGTCACGTCGTCGGCGTGCATCTTCCAATGATGCAGTTCCTCCTCCACCTCCCAGTCTTCCATGCGGTCGCCACTGCCTAATTCTTCAGAACTGAAATTCCACCTCATCGACTGTCGATGTTGCAGTCTGTGGTGCAGCTGGCGTTTCTTCAGTCGCTCCGCGTCCATTTCCATTTCCAGGACTACCCTCGGTATGAAAATCGGGTAAATGCTTTGACTCGCTTCCAGGGCCGCTAAATGAGGAGGTACTTCGGTAACCCGAATGTACGTCGTCCTGTAATTACCGCGATGCGAAAAGCAGCTCACGTTTCGTTTGCTACAACATAAGCCTAACTGTACGCAGCTGCCATAGACTAATTTCATCGTGGCGACGAATATAAAGAGGCCAATGAAAACGAATCCGAAAGGCCGCAAAACCATCATGCTCGACGCCTAAAATAAAACTAGGAGAACGGGCAGCACATTCTGTCATTAAAAGCGGCTATATTTCTAACATTGCATTAACCGCTTGAAGCGGGCGCGATTCTATATGACCACTGGCGCCAATAAAAGTGTACACTTAGTAACGATTTAGGATCAAACAGAATTCCAAAGAGTTTACGGTACAGCTGCAGATCAGGTTTCAGCTTTTTGCACGCTGCAACAAAGGACGGTGCAATCATTCAACATCAACCATTTGGGTGGAATTATGCCTATGTTATATTTTTTCAGGCGTTTTAATAGATGGTACAATAATGCACTATCACCCTTTATAATGAGCTATCAGGTGTTCCCCCAAAAGTTATGCA